TCTCACACACACACACCTCACACACACACACACCCACCCACACACACACACACACCCACCCACACACACAAACCTTTCACGTACCATCATCCCGAAGGTGTGCGGGTATTTCATTCCCACTTGATGTTGGCCAGAACGGGGCTTCCACTTCGATCTGACCCCTCTGGTCAAACTTCTCGATGGGTATGTTGGTGGGCTCTGGCATGTACGGGTCTAAAGGGAGACAGGAGTTGAGTAAAACAACATGAATGACATCTGTGAATGGCCTCAGCCCTCCTGTAAGCAAACGCTTGTACAGTTTGGATATACATTGCTGTGCTCGCCAGGAATAAACCCAGAAATGCTGCCTGAGATGAATACATCTTGATGCTCCAGCATTGTAAAGCAAACACTGATGGAATTTGTAACCAAAACGAAACCGTATTCAAACAAAACCATGCAAAGTTAGATTAAACACATTTTCCTCATTGGGATGCTGTAGGGAGATACAATTAGACTGAAAGTACAAGTGCTTGCATTTATGTCACGCCTTTAAAATAGTAAAGCATCCCAAGATGCTTCACTATTGCGTTCGCAAACAAAATTTGACACTGAATGACATCGGGATTAGTGACAGACTCTTAAAGGAACAGAGAGAAGGGGAAAGATCAAGGAAAGAAATTTCAGAGCTTAAGGCCTAGGTAGTGGAAGAAATGGTTGCCAATGATGAACAAAAAAAAGCACCATGAACGTTAACTGCTGGCACTTTTAATATTTCCTCTCCATAAACTCATGGTGGCCATTCAGGCAAAGTGGTAAGTCCGGGGGTCACAAAAGATCCTTCAGAATTTGTCCCACTCTGTTTCTAATTCAGTCAGACAACACGTCAGTCAGAGAGGCAGGACACCAAGTCACAGGGTCCAGACTGTGCTGTGTCTGGACTGACAGAGCTCGCCCAGAGAGAGAAAACTTTGAGGGACAGCCACACATTGAGGCAGCATGATGAGAGAAGCATAAACAGCAGGTTGATGAAGAGGGAAGAAACCATGGGCAGAACTCCAAGTCATCAATTAACTTACCAGTAACAAGGTTTTTACTTTGCTTTCAAAGCTTAAGCATCCAATTTGCTTCATTAATAAGGTCAAAACATGCGGAGCAGTGTTAGTAATGGTTGGATATATAACTGTTTTATCAATGAAGGAGTCAATCAATTTTAAATAAACACCAGCATATCCCTTGAGGCAGAATTTTCATATGGATACCTTATGGATTTGTTACCGATTGTGATAGCACCAAAGTCAGTTTACCATCTGTTACAGAGATAGTAGGAACTGTCGATGCTGGAGAATCTGAGATAACAAGGTGTAGAGCTGGATGAACACAACAGGCCCAGCAGCATCAGAGGAGCAGGAAGGCTGATGTTTCGGGTCGAGATCCTTCTTCAGAAAAGAACTTCTGAAGAAGGGTCTCGACCCGAAAAGTCAGCCTTTCTGCTCCTCTGATGCTGCTTGGCCTGCTGTGTTCATCCAGCACTACACCTTGTTATCTCAGTTTACCATCTGTTGTGCTTAGGGTTGGGAGTGTGGGGTGGGTATTATGAAGTGTGTGCGAGAGTGAGGGACTGGACAGCTGTGCAGCTCTTATTCAGAGGCATCGATGGGGTGGCTGGGAACTGCACTGTTGAACTGAGGTCCAGCCAAGGAAGAGGCTACAGCTTAATGGGAGGGTCAGTGAGGAAGGTGGGAGGGTGGGGAAAGGTTGTAGAGGACGGTAAGTGAGGTTGTACTCCTGACAGGGGAGCGTGGGGAGGTGGGGAACAGGTAGGGGCAGGAGGTTATTCCAGGAGCAAAGCATTAATTGATGGGGTGGGTGAACAGTATGTGTGTATACAACAGAGAGAGCGAGAGTTTTGGGGCTGGGGTTGAGCATGGGGTAACTGTGTAGAGGATTTGAGGGTTAAGTGTGGGTAGAGTGTGTATTGTGGGAGGGACGTTGATGAGGTACAGTTTGTCCTTGGGGAGACTCAGCACTGACCTAGGTGGGAGGTAGAGTGCGTTAGGAGGGTTGGGATTGAGGGGAGCAGGGAGGGTGCCATGGGGGGAGGGGGGGGTTAGAGAAGCTGAGAGAGCTGGGGGGAGGAGATGGAGGGAAAATGAACTGCTGACTGGAGTTAGAAATTCAAGGGCAGTATGTCTTATGGTTTGATTCTGAGAACAGACAGGCTCTGTAAGGAGTCTTCATTAACTGTAAATAAAAGCCAGTAAGGGGAGGAAAATAAACAATGTGTGCGCTGAGAGGGTTGTGGGGGGTAGGGGGGTGGGGCGGTGGAGGGAGTGCAATCTTTGTCTGCTCTGGGAAAGGTAAAGAAGTGGCAGGCCTCCACTTACCTGGGCACACAGGGCAGCAGCTTCCATCCATGTAGACAGGTTCCAGGCAGGGGAGGGGAGGGCAGCTGACTGTGGAGCAGAGTGTCTGCCCTTGTAGGCAGTAACAGTGTGTACAGCTGTCAATGTCCCATCGCTCCTCATCTGCATAGGTTTTCTCATTGAAGTGACACACAATTTTGCTTGGGATGCTTTCCTCTGTCGAAGGCAGGGAAATGGGAGAAGGGAAAATAAAAACAGAGTTGAGTTAGACCATGGGTCAGCAGTTGTTCAGTCATTGCGCACAGTCCAGACATTTTTCAACTCCGTCTGTCTGTTTGAAAGTGATTTCTGAATAGAGAAACACCTAATCTGCATCAGGCTGACAATCTGGGTATCACAGTGCAGTGTCTATCTCTTGATCAATGAAACATAGAAACATAGAAACATTCAGCCCTTTGAACCTGCTCCACCATTCAACATGAACACGATCCTCTGTGGTATTCCAGCTTTCTTTCCATACCCCTTAGTTTAAAGATGTATCGAACTCTTAGCGGAGTGCTACTGCAAAGGCTGCTTGTCTATTGAACAAACAGCTTTTAAGGGATTTAGAACATTTTAACAAACTAAAAATGTACCAGCTCCAATCTGCACCAGCTCCACATACTTTAGGAGTCGCCTGCTTCTCCCTCCATTGACTCCTTGTACCCTCTGTCAGCTTGCCAGAATGTAGAGTTTAATGCAGCACTGCACAAGCAGCCTTGGCAATTGAGTTTACTTGGCCAGACCAGCTTAATCTATTGACAATAGGGTTAATTCAGGGGATGAGTGCATCACTGGCAAGGCCCTGGTATTGGCTGCCCAACCTTGGAAGTTCTGAGATGATGGTGGTGGGACTTTTGTTTGAACAGCTGGTGGTGGGTTTGCTACAACTGAATGGCTTCTAGTTGGCAATCAAGGGTTAACCACCTTGCTGTATTGACCAGACTGAGTAAGGTTGGTAGGCCTCCTTCCCTTAGTGAATCAGATCAATTTTTATGACAAAGAACAGCTTTCATAGTAACTTCAATTGATCCTGAACAACCAGGAAGGCCTGGACATTGTCTTTGAACGTAAGATATTGTAAGAAATGAATGCATTCAGGTGATCTGGGTTTATTTCATGAACCATGAGGGTGGATTCCCTGGCACTGACAGCACTGTCAAAGGAAAGCAGGTCAGTAAAGTTCACAAGCGCATTGGGAGTGCTTCTGATTGAGGTCAACCAGAGATAAGGTGAAAAGGGAAAAAAAGAAAAGAACCCAGGAAGGTGTTCCTGCAATCTGAAAAATTACAAGTATTGCTGAAGAGAGAGAGTGCTGCCTGTACACTCATTAAGATAAATGCAAGAATGCAAACTTTCAAATGATCACAACACATGAAATATGGGATTCTTGCCATTTGGCCTGACGAGTGGAAGACAAAAATGTTCAGTAGCCTCTCGCTTTCTTTTCAGGAATATTCAAATTCTGTAGTGTCAAAGTGACTGTTTATAATTTTGGTCCTCACGCCACTGGGCTATACCTTGTCACTAGAGGGAGCAAGAGCTCCACAGTGTGAAGAGAGCTGCAGGATTAAGTGGAGTGTGTAAGGGGGCTGAGAAAGGATAGAGTTGTGAGTGAGGGTTAGAAGAAGGTACAGTGTGTGGGGATAAAAATCATCTGAGTCTCAGAAAAGAAGCTGCTCTTATTAAACTGAATGGACTCAGGACTACTGTCACCTTCACTGAAATACTACCAAAATGAAACAGATTAGGGGTTTTGAGGGGATGTGGGCACTAATTCATGCTCCAATGTAATTATTCCAAGATAGGAATTAAACAATCAGCTTAATTTTATCTGCTAGATGAGCTTGAGAAGGATGAATTATTCTGCGCAGTCTGGTGACAAGATACTAATTTCCCACTGCTTTGTTGGAAATATTATTAACAGTTATCCTAATACACAAGTGCCTTCAATCATGTTGCAACACTAATAATCAGTCTGTAATGACAGGAGCTGGTTTCAGTGAGCTTGGCTCTGGTGTTCAGGTAGGTGGCAGGTCACGGCTCAGATGCTGTTGTTGGGGCAGTGGGAGGGATGGAGTGATAATGACCAGGAAGGTGATGTTCTCCCCCAGCAGCAGGCCAGCAATGCCGTGCTGTATCGGGAGTAACGATCAACATGAGCTCTCTGCTGCTTTCACTGCTTTAGTTGTGCTGGGAGATTTATCGTTCTGGGGAGCAGTTTAGCTCTCACGGCCCAGCTAAGGGTTAACACCACACTATAAAAGGGGTTTAAATCTGGGCGGTGTGGGTTTAGCCCCCGCTTTTGTTCTCCATTTATGATGTGCTAATTACTAAAGGAAGAGGAGAATTCTCTGAGTTTGTCCATAGGGCAGACACAGCTGTTGGAGGCTCCTAGGACCTCTCTGTTAATGTATGCCATTATCTGCCCTCATTAGCTGTGTTAGCAGAGGCGTCTTGAGAGATTCAGGAGAACAAAGAAAGAATGACTTTGCCTGAATCTTTCCTTTGCTTCTTTCGCAATGGGTTTACCCACCCAGTGTGTTCTTTGGTTGATCAGGAATTAGCGACAAAGGAGGAAGACTGCAGGAGTGAAGTTCCTAGGCTCTTGGGTGTTAAAGTATCAACAATGAATTCAACTGACATCCCTCGTGATGAACAACTTGCCCTAGACAGCAGGTGAATGTAACGTGAAAATAACGAAAGCATGTGGTCCGTCTCCTGGTTGCAGAGTGGGAGAATGGCACGCCATTTCCTCAGCACAATCACTCACCAATACAGTAAGGGCAGCACTGCCCTTTCCGCAGGACAGGCCGAGCACAGGTCACGGCTGGGCACGACTCCGAGTAGCAGCTGATGACACCTTCCATGCAAATGCAGCTGCTGCAGACATTTGGCTTCCAGGATTCAGCTGCCAGGAAGATATCACCTTCATCGTTCTTGCAGTAACCAGGCATACTTCTGTTGCTTGGCGACATTGGCTGAAGAGGTTCGTCTGATGAGAGGAGGAGAAGACACCAATTTTTCAACAGGAGAAAGTGAAGTCAGCATCCCCAACTCCCCTCAGACTATATCATCCACAAGTGGATGTGTTGCATTTAGTTGAAATAAAAACTGGATAATGCTTAAACTGAGCTGAGTTCTTCATCCACTTGGTGTTCAAAACTCATTAGCGCAAGAAACAGTTGAGGCAAGTAACGCAGCACATAACAGGGTCCCAAGGGCCAGAAAGAAAGAACTTGCTTTTATATAGCACCTTTCCCAGCATCGGGACGACCCCAACATACTTGGCAACAAAGGTAAGAAACCCAATAGCCAGCTTATACACAGCATGATCCCACAAACTCCAATGTAATGATGACCTGATTTTCTTTTCTGCAGTGATGTTGCTAATGATTTTGTAAATGGTAAAAAGAATGCATAAATGGGAGAGGCCATTCATCCCAACCAATACTATCCCGAGAGCACAAGCTGCTCCACTGTCACTCATTGCCTTTCTGTGTTACTCATTGCCTTTCTGTCCTGCACTAAAACAAGGAACCATAGCTCCATGTTCGCTCAGTTTACATTTCAGTGAAATTGGTATGTGATGTGCTAAATGGCAGCTTACTTCCACACGTTAATCATTTGTAAATGTAAAAAAAATTATTCATTACGTTCTGTGGAGGTCACTTTAGTCCAATTCAGATGCATTAAAAACAATATTACAATCAGATAATTCCGCCAAAGAGCAGATTGTAAGATGCACATGTCAGTGAGGTTCTGGACTGAACTCCCAGTTGACATCTCAGACTCCAGCATCGGCAGTTCCTACTATCTCTGACATATCTGACATACTTCTTACAGCAGATGAAATCACTCAATAAAAGGACAAAGATCATACAACACAGAAGCAGGCCATTCGGCCCTAGTGCTTAATGTCCCACGTGAACCTCCCACTACCTGTTGTCATTGCATCAACATACAATAGAAATATATGCCTCTGATTTATCCCTCTGACATGCTCTGCTATGACTGCCCCCTTTTTTTGAAACTTTGAATCAGGGCATCAATCTCAGGAGATCTTACTGCCTTCAAGGTGCTATGTAAACGGAAGTTGGTGTTGCAACTCATGAGCTTACCTGGGCACTGCGGGCAGCATGAGTCTGGCGTCCTGATGGGGTTTTGGCAGAGGATGGGTGGGCAGACCTCAGTGTCGCAGAGCACACGCCCGCTGTGGCATGTGCACTGGGTGCAGGAGTCAATGTTCCAAGTTTCTCCTTCCACAAAGTATTCGCCCCCAGGAGCGTGGCAGATCGATGTATCACTTAGCTCAGGCTTCCAAAGGCCAGAGTCTTCTGTGAACATAGTTAGTTAACAAACTGGTCACGCAGACGTTTAGCAAAATGGGGAGCATATCAGCACAAGCACATCACTATTAACGTCAATTGAAAAGGGGAACCATTCAAAGGCGAAGAATATTAAAAGATACGCAGGAAGGGCAGAGAAATGCAATTTGAATAGATAGGTACAGCTGAAAAGCCAGCACTGACATGGGTACAGGAATGAATGGCTTACTTTTGTACTACGATTTCTCTCAGTTTATGAATTAAAGAGTTGTAATACATCAGAGGGAGAAATGAATTCCTTTACAACATGAAATGAAGCTGTACTTTCACATCAATTGGTTACTCCTTTCATATGCTTACTAATACCGCAATTTATTACCTATCATATCAGTGCAACATTAAGAAACAAAGTACCATTTACTCTCCAAGCTCATTTTGGCTCCAAGCCCATTACTCTGAAGAAGTCCTACATTAGTACAGTTAACGGCAGTGATGAAGTGGCAGAAACTTGTAAGAAGAGAAGGCTCACTGCAAATTTCAATGTCCATTTGTAAACCACAGAATAATAGCTGGCTCTTTGGCCCACTTGTGCCTTTGTCCTATGGTAGATCAAGCCGAGAAAAAAAACACATAGATCTGGGAAGCTTCAGGTTCAATTCCTAGTCTGTGTTAACTTTGCTGTTCTCAGCTTAAGGTCAATAGCTCTTCACGTCCCAGAGCTAGGGATAAAAATGTAAAACAGCTCTTTCCTTCAACACAGTTAAGCTGCATTTACGTTGATGTATGCCAGAGGTTGGGGTATGATTTTGTTTAGGGACCCCAATGTCAGGGTCAGATGGGGAGCCTAACCCCGAACTTTGTGGGAAATGATCATCTGGCAGTGGCTTTCCTTAAAACTGTCCCATGGTGATGAGGAAGATGTGCTCGGTCTAATTAATGACAGCAAGGTTGTTCTGGAAGCTGGAGAACCATTACGAGGCCCTCCTATTTGGAGGGAGAGAGGGCTCTGCTGCCTTCAGACACATTCTCGAGTAAACCTTTCAAGTAAAAAAACAAATGACCACCATTTCTGGGTGCTCCTCTGTAAGGAGGCAGCTGAGGCCAGGATGGGGTTGGGGGTGCAGGGGGAGGTGAGGTCAGCCTCAAAGTTGGCCTAGAGTTGCTGGTCACCCTACCCTGTTGTCGCGAGGCCACTTCCAGACGACCGACCTTTTCCTGGGGAGCAGACCAGTGGGAACACCCAATCAGCCTCTGGAAACTGCTCACTGTCTGATCTGAACTGGCTACTCACTGTTGTATGAGGTAGCAGCCCTCTGTTCTCGATGCCAGCCCCCAGAAATCAGCAAACTGGCTGACATTGTGAATGCTCATGCCTACTGGTTCCATTATTGCCCCTTCGGTAGGTGGCTGGGGGGTGGGGTGGGAATGGTGGTGCTGGTGATAATTTTGCTCTGACCCTCTTATCCTAGACCTCATCTATCTTCCTTAAGGGGCTGAATGTCTGCTGCTGGGTTAGGGGAGCCAGGTTTAACAGTGTCAATGTCTGAAGCTGGTCTCCTGGAACACAACCTAAAACTGCGTTGGTCTATAAGCAGCTTCACCATTTGCATAGCATGATGCATTGATCCGCTCATCAATTAGTGCAGTGTTTCACTATCAATTAATGGCAAACTACAGCTAATGTTTATCGGAATGAGATTCAAAACTCAATAAGATAACTGCAGATACTTTAGTGATATCAATACAGCAACGGATCCTCAAAAATTAATGTATGAGTTTGGCATATTGGATTAACATTTATGAACAGCCAGTGCTCAGTGACCCTGACATTTTAGATTTAGCACACTCCTATAATGATGAGACTCTTATTAATAATATTTATTACTCTGAATAAATTTCTCCAACCCAGGGACTGTTCCTGCACTGCAGCTAAGTATGTAGCTCTTTCAGAGAGCCAGCAAAAATGCAACAGAATGAACTATTTTTTAAATCAGAGTTTTTAACAGCATGGAAACGGCCCTTCAGCCCATTGTGTCCATGCCTGTAATCAAGCATCCTGCTATTCTAAACCCATTTTCCAGCACTTAGCCTGTAGTCTTGGCATTTCTAGTAATCACCATGTGATCTTTCTGTGCAGTGGAGTGAACAGATTGGAGCCAAGTCTCTGACAAAGGGCCGAAATCTCCAAAGAATCTAACCCCAGCACCACTCAACTACACACACCGTTCAAGGGAAGGGGGCAGAGAAGGCTGAGTTATGTGCTCCTCACCTGGGCACGATGGGCAGCATTGCCCAGGGCGGATGGTAGGATTTCCACAGTTGGGCACGGAGCAGGTGATGAGCGCACACATCTCGCGTCCACTGTAGCAGTAACATTCACGGCAACCGTCATGCCAACTCTCACCGCTCTCATGGCGTCGCCCATCCATGGACAAGCATGAGCCTGTTTTGACCGGTGGGATGGCAGTCGTGGGCACCTCTGGATATCAAAAATTGGAAGAAAAAAAGCGAGAGTTAGTCACGGCATAGGGCTGTCTCTCCCTCTTAACAACAAAGCTTTTTCTTTCACCTGCTCAAACCCTACTGTATGCAGGAAGATGCGTAGGCCCATTCAACATCTTGAAGCTGCTCAATCTTTCAGTTCGATTATGACTGCTGTATTTCCAACTCAAGAGGAGGTCAGTATTTGTGCGGAATCTTAGTCTTGTTTTAAAAATTGAATGTAAATTGATATGATACATTCTACAACCTGAGGATGTTTCAAAACACCTTACAGCCAATTAAGTACAAAAGGCAGTCACCATTATAATACAGGAAACAAGGCAGCCAATTCACCCACAGTTTCACAACTGCCATTGAGATAGGTGATCAAATCAGATATTCTTCAAAATAGTGCCATATGATCTTAGTTTAATATTTGAAAAGATGTCACCTCTGGTGACAGTGGGGTGCCAGTCTAGATTACATGCTGAAGTCTCTGGAGTGGGGGCTTGAAGCCCTGATGTTTTGAGTTAGCAATGAAAGGGCTAACAAATTAGCCAACAAATCATCTTTTACTCCCTCTCCAATGATATGCCTCAGCTCTTAATGACAATTCTCAGGGCATTAGGACATTTCTTTCATCTCGAACATTGGAGGCCTCTGAGTGAGATTATAAACCAAGATCAATGAAGGGCAATTTTGTGTGGCAAGACCATGTCCATTTGGAGTTGGATTGAGTCTGCACAACCTCATTTCACAACTAAATACTGGGAAACCATTTCCAATGGCTGATGGGTTGATAACCAGGGGATAGAGGTTTTGGGTGATTGGTAAAATAAGCAGACGCGAGGGAAAACCCTTTCAGATGATGAATGGTTAAGGTATGGAATGTATACCCTGTTTGGATGGTGGGTTCAGGTTCAATTGCACCCTTCGCTAGCAAATTAAATAAACACTTGAAAGAGAAACAAAATTACAGGGAGATAGGGTAAGAGTAAAGGGAGTGGGACTAACTGGATTACTCTTTGAAAGAGGTGGGGCAGATTATTGAACTATTCTATGATCCTCCAGAACCTTACAGCCAGATAAGACTTCCATTCTGTCACCTTGGGCTGGATTTAAATCGCAGATTAAAAGAAAGTGTTTAACCCTTTCTGCCACCTAGATTCTTTTCCCAGGGTAATGTTTCAAGAATGGCAGCTTCTCTCTGTTACTTAAAAATGGCTGACCATTATATGCATTGCAGGTTACCAGACCACAGACAGTCCAGATCTGATCCCCCTTCATATCTGACGTACGCTCACTACTTGCAGTGGTTGTTCTGCTGTGATCAGGAATGGAAACACTGCCTGATTTCCTGCTATCAAATCTCACACAACATTGGCAGATCCACCTACTGCTACCTTGGTTTGAAACTGGCTAATTCAGGAGAAACATATGAAACTAGGACCGACTGTGGATACTTGCTGGAGACCGAGCGTAGTCTTATTTAGCCCTTCCTTTGGGGAAAGGCTTCTGTTTAACTTCTTCTCCATAGAGACACAAGAAAGAATATAGAGTCACCGTGAACAGAAGGACATTAAGTCAGTGTTGCCTCCCAGTCGACTGAGATCAGTGACACCACGCACTTGAAAGAATGTGAACATTGTGGGGCTGGTAGTGAGGTGAGGCTGTGGAGTGAGGAATCGGGCAGAGGAGGCGATAACAGTCAGGGAGTCTGGAAGTACAGGTTTCTCCTATCACCATGGAGACTTACCTGTGTTTGAGATTCCCCGATTCCTCACCTGATACCTAGCTTGAGGGATAGACTTGGCTGCCTCTCAGTGGGAATGCACTGGGTGTAAGGAGCAGCTCAGGTTTTGGAGAGGGGTCTGCCATGGGTGAGATCATGGGGGCCTGGCGAAAGTGTCAATTGAAGATGACAGATTACAGGCAGAAAATGGAGTGACTCTGGGGTGATCAGAGGTGAAGCAATCGTGCAGGGAGTTTAAAGATTTAATCTACTGGGGTCTGGATGAAACACTCCTGCTCCTCCTGGCCCATAGCTCTTACAATAAAGTCACTTTACCATAGGCTCCTAATGCCTCCTTTTACCTGACAGGTTTTCTAAGATCCACGGCCTCCATAACAAGGTTTTCAATGATCTATCCCACATCTGGAAAGTGGATTGGTCCGTCGCCCCTGCTTCACTTTCAATACAACTGTGTTCAAGGTGTACACATTGAAATTCTTCATGTTTTTGTTTCTCATAGAATCCTTACAATCCAGAAAGAAGCCATTCGGCCCATCAGGAGTATTAGTGTGCTGCACTGGACCTCAGAAGAACATCCCACCTAAACCCAGCCCCCCATTTCCCATGGCCTATCCACCTAGCCTGCACATCCCTGGGCACTATGGGCAATTTAGCACGGCCAATTCACCAATCCTGGGCATCTTTAAACTGTGGGAGGGAACTGGAGCACCCAGAGGAAACCCACGCAGACACGGGGAGAATGTGCAAACACCACATAGACAGTTATCCAAGGGTGGAATTGAACCCGGGTCCCTGGCACTGTGAAGGCATCCATGCTAACCACTGAGCCACTGTGCCGCCCTCTGACCTGACCCAGACTCACCCATGTACTCGGGATAAAGCATGTACCTATAACTCTGCCACATAACATTACAAAAGTTTGGATGGCTTCTAACTTGGCAACTCACCAACTCTGACACTGCTGAAGATGAGACTAATTGAACCAGGAAACTCCAGGTGATTGTAGTGAATAATAACTGACTGAAATCAACTGCTCGCTTTAAAAGCTCCATCAAAGCCCCAAATACTTAACTGTCTCGCTCCATCTCAATGACATTTGAAGGGCACAATCCATCACTTAGGACAGTCTTCCTCACAAATCCAAAAATGAAAAGATACAAACACTTCTTTACTCATTGAGAAACAAGCCAACTTATATTGTATATATGAGAGAAGGAAGATAATTAAATGAACAGTAATACTTAAAATTCCATTCAGCACAATGACTCCCATCCCCTCCTTTCCAGCCCAGGAGTTTTCCTCCTGAGGATAGTTTCTCACATAAGTCTAAGGTCAAATTAGGAGTGAGGTGATGAGATATTTCTTTACTCAGAGGGTTATGGATACTTGGAATTCCCTAACTCAGAGAACTGTGGATGCTTAGTTTTGAACATATATTGAATACTCAAATTGTTGACTTTTTGTGAAATTAAAGGAATTAAAGAGATGGGGGACAAGGCAGGAAAGTAGATGGATGAAGAAGATTATCTATAAAATTCTAATGGACTAGACAGGGTAAACACAAGGAGGTTGTTCCTGGGAGTCTAGAACCAGGAGTCACAGTCTGAGGTTATGGGGCAGTAGGTCATTTAGGACTAAGATGAGGAGAAATTTCTTCACCCAGAGAGTGGTGAGCCTGTGGAATTCTCTGTTACAGAAGGTGGTTAAAGCCAAAACATTGAATGTTTTCAGTAAGGAATTTGATATAGTTCTTAGGGGAAAAGAGATCAAAGGGTATGGGGAGAAAGTGAGAACAAAGTACTGAGCTGGATGATCATATTGACTGACAGAGCAGGCTCAAAGGCCCATTCTTGCTCTTGTTTTTATTAGCTGTGATCTTACTGAACAGCAATCAAATGCAAAGGGGCCTTGTGTCCTGCGCCTGCTCCTATTACCTACACTCTTACGTCATAGGTGCTGACTTCCCTTGCTATCTGATCTATTGATAGTATTAGATCAAACAGTTAACATTCACTAAATTATTGAATCATTGTGATATCACAAACCAAGTCTAATCCAGTCTCCTTCAGGACTCATCTGAGCAATAACTGGGAGTAAAACACCTTGTGGAGCTAATAGAGCAATTCAATTAGAAACCATCTTTAAAAAAAAGATACAATATGGGATACCGATAGGAATTGGCTCCAAAACAAATTCTTTTGAAATAAAAAGTATGGGTTGAATATTCAACAGATTTTTACAGAGTCACTGATCAAACAAATGACCTAAATAAGTTGCTGTTCATGATAGCTCCAATGGTTCCAAATGGTTTGAGGCAAAGTGATTAACGTAACTGTGCTACCAGGCTCCTTAGATGGAATCAAATTAGGTCAGTGACACATAGCATACTGTGATGAGTTTTTTATTGATTTTTTTCGTATCTTTTTCTTCAGCTGCTCTCGTATCTCCTACCAGCACTTAATGAGTAATAATGAGTGTTCCTCTATAAATGCCCTGTACTGCCTTGGCCCAGTTAAGGTTCCTTTGTAACAGAGGGCGTTACAGGTGATTTCTGATCCTGTCCTTAGCTGTGTCCCTCACACCTACAGCAGAGGTCAGAGGATATCTACGGGAGTCTTTACATCATTGACTTTTTGACTTATTTAATCACTCCAGCATATCTCCTCAGAAATTTTCCCAATTATATCCTCTGCTGACCAACATGTTTACTAGTGAAAATACGTTCCAATTTCAGTTTTACAATTCTCATCCTTGTTTTCAAATTCCTCCATTAATCTCTCTCTCCTCCTTCTGGAAACTGCTGAGGTTTCTGAGATCCTCCAATTCTCACCTCTTGAACAATCCAGATTTTGATCACTTCCCCACCGACAGCCCTAGCTACTTGCCTGGACCCTAAGTTCTGGAATTCCCTCCCTAAAGCTCTCTCGCTTTAAGATGCTTCTTAAAATTCTACCCACGGGCCAAAACTTTGGTCACCTGTTTTAACCACCTCCTTAAGTGGCTCAGTGTCAGATTTTGTACGCTAATACTCCTGTGAAACATCTGGGGCTGTTTTACTATGTTAGAAGGTGTTATACAAATGTAACAGCCTTTCCCGTTCCAACTTTTCCCTTGGTATCTGCTTAAAAGCTGTTCACCTCCACCATCTTTCCTAGTTCTGAAGAAAGAACATTGGCCTGAAACAATACTGCTTGTTTGTCTCTTCACAGATGTTGGCGGATCTGCAGAGCATTTTCTCTTCTTCATGTCAGAGGGTTATGATTAGGGTTGATGTGAATGGATGCTTGGATTTTGGGATAGCTAATTCAGCACAGACAGACAAATCAAAGCTGAACTCATAATATTGGAATACTGCAGCCTTAATTTGCAGTGGAAACTGATTCATTTTCAACTCAAACATTCAAGCAAAATTTAAAAATGCTTCACTTTCATGAGAATATGCGGCTCTCACTGTCTTTCTGCTTCCCCTTTTCAGAGACAAGCTACATCAATCTTTTCAAAACGGTACTAGCAGATCCCATTGCTCAAGGGTAAGTCAGCAGACTATACAGTTACAGCATGATGTATCGTTCTGCTGCTTAAGCAGGCTGCCCCTTTAAGGCTGAAAATGTAACAGCCACAAATGGGCTCATCCTGAGAACAATCAGAGACCAATTAGGGACTATTCATATCCTGAGGTTAATTAAAGGTCGATTACCTTCCTTCCTAGCCTTTTTTAAAAGTGCTTCAGAAATCAACATGCACAGCTTTAGTAAAAAATAGAAAGGTCAATTTATGCAAGGCATGGTCCCCATTACTCCCAACTTCTTCAAAATATACAGCTTAGAAGGTTATTTAACCCATCATGTCTCTTTGCAGGACATCTCCAACTAAATCTACTTACACCACACCTTCAGGCAGCATGTTCCAGATTGTAACAATGAGTTGTGTTAAAATAAAAAAAAATCCTCATCTGCTCCTAAGACTTTTGCCAATCTTCTGTGATCTCTGGCCACCAAACCTTCCTACCAGTGGAAACACTTCTCTCGACCTTTTTCTCTAAGTGACACTCTCAATTATTCAAGGGTGGTTGGCATCTGCCGTTGTTTCATTATGCATCAGGCCAAGGAAGCACATTCCCAGTCTGCTTCAGCCACAACGGTGTCTCTCAATCTCCTCTGTCACAACCCATCATAAATTTGAATACCTCTCCCCAGCATCTGTATCCTGCTTTAAAGTAGAAAGAAATATAAAGCCATTCCTTTAAGTCGGCTGTGGGACTCAGGCTGGGGCTCAGAATGGAAGGAATTGCTCCTACTGTAAAGCCAAAGTGTAAAATTAAGTTCAATTTGGCACGCTACATCTTATTGAACGAGTGCCTCCCATTCCTACAGTATGTAAGAGTTAAGTCCCAGCTAATAAGTAACAACATAATAGCAAAATTCCTTTACTTGTTACAGTAGCTAAGTAATGGAATGTACCTACACAAAGTGCAGAGTCCAGACATTTCTGCAAACAGGTTGGGGTGATGTGACCCAAGAGTTGGCAATTTGGCTGCTCCATTACATGCTTTGATGACATACCAAACAATCAGTGGAGGTTGAAGAGGCAAAAAAAGTGGGACTAAGCTCAACTTTGGTGACCGTCTCATGTTGCAGTATTAACTGGCAGAACAGACCTGACAGCTGAGCCTGCATACCCCTGTTCCTGTGCTACTGCCATCCCACGCATCCAGCCCTGAATATTTCATACTCACTGCTGAGGTACAAGAAGGCTGTCTCAGGTTGTGGAACCATTACTGAGCAGACCTCGGGCACAGCGGGAGGTGCATTAGGAGTCGAATGAAAAGATCTGTTATTTACTCAGCAAACCCACAAACTCAAAATAAAACATTTGAACATAACCACTCAGCGAATTCTCATCCCCTTCCACTTACCTGCGTGCCAAAGCACTTTGTCAGAGACTGTCTGCAAAACATAAAGGATACTTGCCTGTGTGAGTGATTAGTCAATTCACTCCTCTTTGCTTAAGGGAGTTGAGTAGGATCAAAGCCCTTTCAGGAAAGGTGCCTTTGCTGAAGATGACTATCTTAATTAACAGGAGAACAGACACTACTATTTTCCCTGGGCCTCAGCGAAATGGGATTCACATTAGCTCGTGATAATTATTATCTTCTTCCTTTAGCTCAGCGCGCCACCAGCTCAATGTGCCAGGTAAAACCAATTAGCTTCCTTACCCTTGCACTTGCAGATAAGACAGCCATAAACGTCTTGCTCGAATCCCATTGGACAATACTTGTCACACGGACGCTCTGGGCACTTCTTGCAGCGACAGATATCGCAGCTATGTTTATTTTTCCTGTTTTTAAAAGAGAAGGTGTTGAAGAAAGTCATTCCCAAAACACAAGGCTGCACACTGCTGCGACTTAAGCAATACAAACATCTTACAAACTGGTCCGGGCAACTTGTATTCCGAACTTACATTTCAAACTTTTGCCCTGTGAGAAGCTCAGATACAAAGCTGTTTGCATTCCAGCTGCTGTTACTGGGATTCTGCCAAGTAAAAGGTGGAAGGGGGAAGATGTGCCCATTGGGAATGTGCTGACCTCATTCTGCCTGGAGGAATCCCGGGACACAATGAGGCAACAGGCAGTTTCCTGACCATGTGGCTGGTTTGTTCAGTCTCAGCTGCAAGACTCAATGGGGACGTGGTGAATGAAGCCCCTGTAACTAACTAGAAACAAAGAGGAGGAAACACAGAGTGTGAAAGTACAGCAGGCCATTTGGCCTATCAATTGTGTCTATGCAGAGTCTTTGACAGAACTGCTGAATTAGTTCCACTCGCCTACCCCTCCCTACGGGGCTGCAGGTGTTTCCTTTTCATTTCCGAGCATGTATCCAATTCCCTTTCAGTGGTTGCTACTGAATCTGCTTCCACCGTGCTTCCAGGCAGTGTGTTCCAGTGCGACAACTCACTGGACAGTAAAAACTTCCTCATCTCCCTTTTGCTGATTTGTCCTGGATCTGTGTCAACTGGTTCCTGAGTTACCACAACAGAAACAGTTGGAAACCCACTTCACCCCTCTCCACCTCGCTATTTTGCCTTCCTCCTTTATGTTGCTCATTAAAATCAACCTCTTTGACCCAATCCTTAGGTTGGCTGTCTCAATCTCTCCTCAGATGGCTCGTATTTTGTTGTGTAATGACCCAGTGAAGCACCCTGTGTGGTTTTATTAAGTAAAAAGTAGTCACCAAATTTAAGTTGTTGTTGTGTTCTTCCTATCTATTCTTTCAAAACCCCTTTGTTCTCATGGAACCATAAGGGTACAGAAAAGGCCCTTCGGCCCATCGGGTCTGCACCAACATAAAAACTGTTCTAAAATCTACACTCCCACTTTCCAGCACCTGGCCCATAGCTTTCAATGTTCTGATATTTCAAGTGCTCATCCAAGTACTTTTTAAAGGTTGTGAGGCTTCCAGCCTCTATTACCCTCCCAGGCAGTGCATTCCAGATTCCCAACAGCCTCTGGATGAAAAACATTTTCTTCAAATCCCCTCTAAAGCTGCCACCTTTCACCTTAAAATTATGGCCCTTTGTTATCGATCTTTCGACTGAGGGGAACGACTGCTTTCTGTTCACCCTGTCCGTGTCCATTGTAACCTTATACATCTCTGTCAGGTACCCTTCCCCAGCCTTCTCTGCTCGACGAAAACAACCTGAACCTATCCAGCCTCTCGTCACTGCTAAACAGCAAACTCCCAGGCAGCATCCTAGTGAACCTCCTCTGCACCCTCTTTACTGCAATCACATTCTTCCCATTGTGTGGTGACCAGAAATAAGAACATAAACTGTAGGAGCAGAATTAGGCCATTCTGCCCATCAAATCTGCTCCGCTGCTCGATCATGGCTGGTATGTTTCTCAACCCCATTCTCCTGCCTTCTCCCCGTAACCCTTGATCCCCTTACCAATCAAGAATCTATCTACCTCTGTCTCAAAGACACTCAATGACCTAGCTTTCACAGCCCTCTGTGGCAATCAGTTCCACAGACTAACCACCGTTGAGCTGAAGAAATTCTTCCTCATCTCAGCTGTGAGAGCATGCAGTACTCTGGCTGTGGCCTAACTGAAGACCAGCCAATTCACTCCTGTGATCTATGGCACAACTGATAAAGTCATGCTTTTAAACACCTCTCTTAAATCTCCCCTTAGGAAACAATTAAAATAAAAATATTAATTAGCTCTGTTGGTATATAGCTCCACGCAAGTGGTTAAGAACTGGAAAAGGGAACTGGTGGAGGGAGTTTCATTTATTTAAAAATGGAAAATAAACAAAATATTAACTAATTTGGAAAAACAAGAGGGGAAAGATTTAAAAGGGACCTAGGGACAACGTTTTCACATAGAGGGTGGTGTGTGTATGGAATGAGTGCTAGTTCAGTTTAGGATACCTGGTCAGCATGGACGAGTTGGGTCGTGCTTTATGATGCTATGACTCTATGATTTGTGACATCAGTACCCATTAAACTGCTTTTTCTTAATCTAAAAGAATAGGATTGATTTTGGCAAGCTTTTCCTTCCAGGTTCAATAAGTCCGATTGGAGGAGTTACTGACTGTATCAGCATAAATGAAATGGACTGATGTTAGTACAGAGGTTGTAATAGTACGGAGGTTGTAATTGCATTAATAATGTGGAAATACGTCTGTGACTCTGTCATTTCAATTAGGGGATTGGGTAACGCACGGGTATAGGCTAGCTCAGTTGGCTGGATGTAAAATGACACCAAATGGTGTGGGTTCAATTCCTGTACTGGCTGAAGGTCATTTCTTCTCAACCTTGTCCATTGCCTGTGATGTAGTGAAGATCAGGTTAAGCCACCACAAGTTGTCTCTCTGCTGACTAGGTGGCCCTATGGTCTTCTGAGTCTAGGGTGACTTTACATTTCAACTTTACATCTCACAGTCAGACTCAGAAACTTTTCACAGCAGTTCCCTTTCACTTTGGTCTAAATGGAGAGGTTGGCCAAGGGTCTCACTCTTTATTGGTTTGGCAGGAGTATCACAAGCCGGGCCAGTGTTTACTGCCCATGAGCAGGGGTGCTGAGCTACCATGTTGAACAACCGCAGTCCATGTGGTGGTGGGAACGTTCAGAGTGCTTCTGTGTATAACTGAATGGCTTGCTTGGCCATTTCAGAGGGTGTTAAAGAGTCAACCTCATTGCTGCAGTTCTGGAGATATATGTTGGCCACATGGACACTGGAGGGCAGATTAAGGAACTAGATAATTTCTTTTTGTAAGGTTCCGCGAATATTATTAATTAGAAAGCAATTTCTTCCAGATTTTTGAACAGTTGCCTTTATGATAACCCAGAAGTCTTGGCAGGATTTGAACTTGTGACTGGAGTATTTGTTGGCCCTTAGGATTACTAACCCAGTAAGCATTACCAATATGCTACTGTCCCCATCACATTCCAGTGAGCCCAGGGAAAAAGCAGAAGTGTGTATGCTGATATTGAAGAAAGCATGATTGGGCTTGATTGCAATGGCATCAACAGATGAGCACCATGCCAACATACCATTCTTGGAAATGACTGGCTTGCTGTAAACAGCACGCTTTTCTCAGAGAAGGCTGCATCGCACAACTGTCCCCTGTCCCAGGCTTCTCATCACGTATCTGTGAATCTTAACTTCTCCCTGAATCACAGACGTTCACTTCAACATTCAGATACTATCAAACCACTGCTTAGGTACAGCTTGCGATCGGAGCATCGATAGCAGCGATGTCTGCTAAAATGTTTTGCTTTCTTTTGCAGATTCAATGGAATCCAAAATATTTAACAAAAAATCTTTTCTGCCTCGTTGACAAAAGAAAAATGTTCCTGTGATGGTTCAGTGAATACAGGTACAACATGGTGTGGTGCTGATCTTTCCAGACTGGGCAAGTCCGAGGTTTCATCCCTGCTGTGTGCTCGGTGAGCTGATTATATCTGGGACACCAATAACAGATGGATTTGAAGATATTACAAGGCAATAATAAAGAGCCAGGAGCTTGTTACAGGTCAGTAACACTTAGCTTGGGGCATGTTGAAGGCAATAGCTGCTACACCATACTGACAGTGGATCATTGCTGCAGTGAGACATTTGCTTCACAGAACATTATGGGAAAACGCCACATAGAGTCATAGAGATGTACAACATGGAAACAGACCCATTGGTCCAACTCGTCCATGCCATCCAGATATCCTAAACTAATCTAGTCCCATTTGCCAGAATTTGGCCCATACCCCTCTAAACCCTTCCTATTCAGATATCCATCCAGATACCTTTTAAATGTTGTAATTGTACCAGCCTCCACCACTTCCTGTGGCAGCTCATTCCATACACGCACCACCCTCTGTGTGAAAATGTTGCCCCTCAGGTCCCTTTGAAATCTTTCTCCTCTCACCTTAAACCTACGCCCTGTACTTTTGGACTCCCCTACACTGGAAAAAAGACCTTTTATCCTATTCAGCCTATCCAAGATTTTATAAACCTCTGTAAGGTCACCCCTCAGCCTCGATCATATAGATAATTCTGGATTTCCAAGAGCTTGGTTCACAGTAATAACAACAACAACAGGTATTTATTTATATAGCGCCTTTTAATGATGAAATTAATGAGGTGCTTTAAAGGAGTGTTCTAAAGTAAAGTATGACACTGAGCTATGGAATGAAATGTTAGGTCAGATGATCAAAAACTTGGTTAATGGGGAGAAAATTAAGATGGAATTCCAGGGCTTAGGGTCGAGTCATCTGAAGGCACAGATAAAATGATTAAAATTTGGGATGCTCAAGAGGCTGAGTGCAGAGGAGATTAGATATCTCGGAGGCTTATGGGGGAACGCCTCATTATAGAAATGGGGAGGGGCAAGGAATTTGAAAACATGGATTAGAGTTTTTAAATTAAGACCCCGATTGACTGGGGCTAATGCAGGTCAGTGAGCACAGGGCTGATGGGAGAAACAGGACTTGCTGTGAATTAAGACACTGGCAACAGAGTTTTGGATGGCCTCACATTTATGCAATGTGGAATGTGGAAGACAAGCTGGGAGTGCAGTGGAATGGTCAAGTTAAAGAACAAAGAGGATGGCCCTTCAGCCCTCCAAGCCTGCACTGACACATTTTGCCGTTCCATACGAAAACTGTCTTCACTTACAGGATCCCTATCCCTCTATTCCCTTCCTATTCATGTATTCATTCAGGTGCTTCTTGAATGCTATTATGTCTGCTAAAGTCAAGGGGTAACAATGACTTTCATTAGCAGGTGAGCTGAGGCAGGGGTCAAGGCTGGGCAAATTTATGGAGGTGGGAACACTGGGCAGTATTTAATGCAGAGAGGCAGTGTTCTTGGCTCACTCTGGACAGCTAGTGCATTGCTACTTTTCAGGAAGGGTAGGCCAATGGGGTGCCAGGCGGGCACTTAACAAGGCAGCAGTGGGTCTGATCCTTAGATAGATGACCCCCTCTAGAGGGGAGGTCTGTCTGGCAAACATCTGCCAGTTCTTCACTGGGTGGCAGCTGACAACGTACCCTCCTAATGCCCAGAATCACTGAGGAACTGGGGTCATAGGTGATGGCAGGGACGGTGGGGGGGAGGGGCAGCAAAGGTGGGGATGGCTCTCAGTGCAAGACCGCCTCTGCTCCACCCATTCCCAATGCCAGCTCCCTCGATCACGCAGCCAATCGCCAATCCGGAGGACCTGCGGGCAATCTGGACAGGGTTTGCTTGTCATGGCAAGGCCTCAGCCTGTTGTTGGGTGAACATCAGCAGTGCAGGATGTGACCCTGAGGTGGGTAATAGTTTCCGGCTTCAACGTACAATGTTTTTCCCAACAGCTCAGATGGAATTGTGTGTTTGTTATGCTCAGAACGTCTAAATACTCTGAATACAGTAGTTTGAGACGAATTGCAGAAGTCGATTTAGGAGATGGAACAGGCCGGAAAAAAAATGAATATTTTTAAAAAAAAGACATAATTCACATTTTCGACATACATATTCAATTTTGACCACTGTTCCATCTTTATAGGTCTAACTTTTGCTGTTTACCGAAAATAAGCCCACTAACTCTGAGTGTGGTCTTTAATTTCAAGTAGGAGCTAAGTTACTGCAGGCACCCAGCACCAATAGAGCTCTGTGGATCAGTAGATGTAAAACAGGGCTAGTCTTTAACGCTGGGGAAAGGTGAGGGGGAAGATCCTCGAGGTGCAGTAAGTGTGAAACGTGATTATAAATCGCCACAAGTTTGTTTAAGAGACACCAAAGGGATCTCAGTTTCAGAAACTAAAACAGGCGAGTGTTCACCCTAATTTGTGGCCTATTACAAATTGAGAAGCTGTGTTAAACCACCAAAGGGCAGAGTGTACAATGCGTGGCCAACCTGACAACACGCACACTGGAAGTTAGGGCACATGCTCTGTAACGATTGGTGCCGATAGGTTTATATCGCTAAGAAAGCAGCTGCACGTACATGTATCCGAAAGGACAGTATTTGTCACAAACCACGGGCTTGCATTTCTTTGGCCGCGTGCGGCACTGGCAGATCTCGCAGCCGTGTACATCAGTCTGCAGGCCGAAGGGACAGTCCAGGCCACATCCCGATATGAGGCCTGTGCACAGCTCTTCTCCTGGGGAGGGGAAAAAGACCAAAATCACATCAGATTTTGCATTATTTGAAATGCATTTGAAAGAAAGAGCAGAAAACAAACTTGTACAGTGCTTTTCACAAACTAAGGACTCTTGTTGCAGGACCATAGCTCCCACTGGGGCCGGTACAGAGGTGGATGAACACAAATCTACATTCCACTAGCGCCATGTTCACACCATTCCACCCTAGGACCATTTAAGAGCTACTGAAGTCAATTAAAGTCCTTAAGGATCTGCTGTCTGCATGTAGCCAATTGCATCCTGCTGCTTGTTCAGTGCTCAAAAGCCTCCTGTTGGCTCTCCAACTTTAGGCAGATGTCCACCATCCACTAACTGGATAGTGAGTCCTCCCTGAAACCGTTAAATGGTCAATTTCAGGGACAACCTGTTGTTGTCATGAAATAATATGCTCATCATAACCTTCAAGGAAACTAGATCTGGAGATGGGGGAGGTGGCACTAAAAGCTACAATCGGTGTTCACCTCTATTTTGAAAAAAGAAATGGAGTTTTCTCTCAGTATGGTCATCCCGTCTGGACACACAGTCACTTGAATGGGGAAGGGGCTGGAGCCTGGTCTTTTGATGCGGTAATTCCAGAACACTGCATTTCCCAAAGCAGATTACAGCCAATGAATTTTCCGTCTTGTTGTGCAGGAATGCTGGCCAGACTCTTTGAATCAGCAAAGTCCCACAGACTGCAACTAGGTAATTTGTGCTGCTGGCCTTCATTGAGGGACAAATGTTGGCTAAACAAGGGGAGAACCGACTGCCCCTTTGCAAAGTGTTGGATTGGAAGTTTTGAGCTCGTCTGTGCAGGCTGATGGGACTCCCATTTCATTTCTTGGCTGAACTACAAAACAACCTTTCCCCCGACGATCTCTGCACAGTTTCTTGCCACCCCTTAACCAAACAAACTATGCCATTAATGTGAAACACTCATCATGTGGGAAAAAAGCAGAGCAGCTGCACTGTGTTCTACCTTGTCAGATGACTGATGTACTGATCTGTGATGGAATATAGACCTGTCACTCTAGCATCCCTAGAAGAAGAAGGTCAGGCTAGTGAGCAGGTACAGCCTCCAAGTCACACACCCTGCTGACTTGGCACGATGATGCCATTAATTCATCACTTTAAGGTCCAAATCCCAGAACTCCCTCTCCAATAGAACAGTGTGCCTATACCACACAGATGCCAGTGATTTAAGAAGGCAGTTCACAATCGCCTTTTCAAGGGCACATAGGAGTGAGCAATAAATGTCACCTTGCCAGTGACGCACGCATCCCACGTATGAGTGATACAACAATAAGTGAACGCAGTGCTTTGCACCACTGATTAAAACTGTTTCCTAATTTGGCTGACTTTTTTCGTGGAATGATACCACTGAAGTGTACGAGATAGAGGATGCACGGCATCAACAACCACACATCTTTTACCACAAAAGGAGCAACCCTGATACGGACACCATCACCAACAGCTTCCCCTCCAAGTAGTGCTGCCTGGAACTTCCCATCTGACACAGTCATGGAAACAGCATCCTCCCAAGTACTACAGCAGTTCTCATTGTCACCCGATCAGGACTTGGGATAGGCAACACAAAATCTCACAGCAGATCTTTTAAATAAAAAGAGTTTGTCCTTTCTGAAGATGGGTCACTCGACTCGAAATGTTAACTCTGCTTTTCCCCACAGATGCAGTCAGACCTACTGATTTTCTCCAGCAATTTCTGGTTTTGTTTTGGATATCTGGCATCTGAAGTTCTTTGGTTTTATTTAAATCTCATCCTTTCTCTACCTTGTCTCTTTCACCGAATGCTGACATCCTGATTTACCTTGTTCATCTTTTTGAATCTCTGTCATGTAGACAGACAGCGAGACTTGGCCCCTTACCTTCAACAGCTTATTCACTTGAAGGATTAGAAAAAAGACCCCTTTAACTATACAGTCTCAACAGTCAGCCAAATATATTAAACATGCGAAAGGACTTCTTTTAAAAAAAAACATAACGCACCTTTTGATCATTTAGCTGTAGCCCCTAAACCAAATGTTTATAATGACTCTGCTTTTAATGACCTGGCAACGGGCTAATTAGCAAAATACATGGTGGGAAGACACATTTTCCAAAACAATGTAGCAAATGGAATTTTTATTGGGCCTTTGAAGCCAGCTCATTGTACAAAAACATTCCAGCTTTGGGTTATGTGCAACCTGAAAAGCAGTTATTATCCTCAGTTTGGAGGAAGGAGAGGCAGGACTAAACACGTCAAGAGAAATAAAGCCTAAGGTTGGGGAGGGTGGATTTTCAGGAAAAGTGCTCCGTTCTCTATAATTTAATCGTGGGAATAAAGCAGCTTCTTCTGTGACTTTTACCAGGTTCATGAAATATTTAATCAGCTTCCATGCGTTCCTGGAGCTACTACAGGATGTGTCACTGGAGCAGTTCTTGTGTGTGTTTACGTTCTGGAGGTGAACATTTCCTCTGTGTATTTTTTTACACTTCCCCTTGCCTTGCCAAAGCTCCATGCAGGCGTATTGACCATCTTCCAGTATCTGTCCCTGTGATCATCCTTGCTGTGTCAATAAGCTGTTTGAGCACAAGGGCAGCGCCCCAGTTGAACTCAATGGCCTCCTTGTCCAGCTGTGCTCTGGATTGCTCCATTACCTTCAGAAACAGCAACCAGCCCCAATGGTCTCTTCTCTTGCAGAGAGATGCTCAGACCAATTGCAGCACCATCACTGGGGTCAACCAAGGTGATGCATTTCAGTCAGAAGAACACAGAAAGACAACATAAAATAGGGTGCACAATTCTAAAGGCATGGAGGAGCAGACAGACCCGGGTGTATTTATGTACAGATCACTGAAGGTAGAAGGACAAGTGGACAGAGCAGTTAATAAAGCATACAGTATCCTCAGCTTTATTAACAGGGGCATAGAGTACAAGAGCAAAGAGGTGATGTTGACCTTTTATAAGGCATTTTTTAGACCTCAGCTGGCATACGATGTACAGATCCAGGAGTCACTTTATAGTAAGGATATGAATGCATTGGAAAGAGTGTAGAAACGATTTACAAGACTGGCTCCAGGAATGAGAAACTTTAGTTATAAGGATAGTGTGAAGAAATGTTATCATTGGAGAGGAGAAGGCTGAGAGGAGATCTGATCAAGGTTTTCAAAATCATGGTGGGGATTGATAGAGGAGATAGAGAGATACTGCCACACTCTTACAAAGATCAAGACCCAGAGGGCACAGATAGAAGTGATTTGCAAAAGAAGCAAATGTGAGGTCAGAAAATACTTTTCTCACAGTGCATTGTTAGGGTATCAAATGCACTGCCTGGATGTATTGAGGTTCAAGTGAGGCATTCAAGAGGGCATTGGACAATCATTTGGGAATAAAGCAGGAAATTGGAAATAGGTAATGAAGTTCATTTGAAGAGTCAGTGCAGAGACAATGGGCTGAATGGTCTCCTTCAGCGTTTTAACACTTCTGTGCTCCTGAGTTAATGTAAAACACGGGGTTGAACTTGGGAGCTCCATAGCTTCAAGTGAGCAAGTTACTTACTGGATAAATCACTGAATCGTTTCAGAATCCTGAGTTGCTCTTTCTTCTAGCAACTCTTTTTATGTTTTGCTTCCCCTTAATTGTTAAATGGGACAAGTTGGACTCTAGTAGTGGAGGCATTACTTTAGATCTTCAATTTTCCTAACCCAGAATAACCTCTGCTCCCTGATAAGCTGAAGCTGTAACCCAATCAGGAGAGTTCCCTGGGGAGGCTCCATTGTACAGCAGAAAGCAATGAAAACATTGACTATTCTTACAAAAAGTACTTCTTGTCGGCTGAAAATTGCTTTGTAGTGTCTGGAGTTTGTGATAAGGCAAAGTAATTACCTATAATCACTAAAGGAGTATGGGCATCTCCCTGTATTAGTCAGAGACAATTGGTTCTGTACAGCCTGAGGGACGCCACTTGCCAAGTATGGGGCAAGGGACTATATAAATGCGAGATCTTTCTGACCTTGAGCCTCAGCATAGCCTCCTGGTATCAGATGCCACACTAAAGAACAAGAATGCAAACACAGGCACTCAGGGGCACGTGGGATATTTCCTGTTGGTGCTGTCACCAGTGCAGCAGGGTGAAGACACTCAACTTTTACTTTTTGCTTTCAACGCATAAATACACACAATGACACACATGGAAGAGCTATTACTGAACTCTGCAGTTCCTCTCAATCAGATTACACGAAGGAGCACCAATGGAAAATGAGAAAAAGGAAGCATTTCCCTGGCTCTGGACCAGGGAATTGTGTTTTCTAAAAGAAAACGTATCTTTTCCCTCAGCCTGAATCCAGACTGTTATAAATTGAATATGTCATGGACAACACAGCAATATGATAAATATTTCCACTTGTGTGGTTGCCATAACCTACTGGTGAATCATTTGCATCAACCTCACTTCTGGAGATATTTATCATATCACCCAGCAGGAAGTCCTATTTATAAACCCTTTCAGTAGATTTAGGTAGTAATGCACACTGATCCAGACCCTGTTGCTATCTGTGGCACACGCACAGCTAAGTGACTCGAACAGCTGACAGATGTTAAGCAGAACGACAAAGGCAGTACTCACTGGTTTTGCACTGACACGTGTGGCATCCACTGTGGTCCAGCTTGAAGCCATAGATACAGTCTCTTTCCGTCAGGGTGCAGTTGATCAGCAGCTCGCATGTCGGAGGCCCAATGGTGATGTATGTTGGCTCTGCAGCAACAAAGGAAAAGCAGATATATATATAGAGAGAGAGATGCAGATGGGAGAGACAGAAAGTTGGGAAAGAAGTGTTAGAAAACATCAGGCAGATCACTCTTCTTTGTGGCCAGCTTGGCTTATTTGGGAGAGCTCAAACTCAGGGATCAGAAAGTTGTAGGTTCAAGCAGATAATTCAGGCTTGCAGCATTAAAGTAAAGCTACTTGGCTTGAGGCATTGTTCTTTGAATGAAATGTTAAACAGATGAGAATGAGGTGTTACTTGCTTGCTCCAGTGGCTTTTAAAGCTTCCAAAGAGTGCTATTTGAAAGCAGCGATATCGCTCAATATCAACAATACAACTTAAACTGTATAAAGTACTTTGAGACATTTCAAAGTGATAAAGCTATCAATGCAAGGTTTTAAAAAGTTTAATTGCATTTACACTCACCTACGATAATAGGGCAATATTCTGTAAAGATGCATAACTTAACGGAAAGTACTTCTTTTCACACCGTGTCTGAGTTATTTATCTTGAGTATCCAACACCATTTTTTAACTATTTCCATTTATCGGGGCTTGTGTTTTGCTCATTTCTGCAGTTGAGTGTACATGAAGGTGATCAGGGAATCAAAGGACAACTCATCCGATTGGATTGTGCCAGCTTCCCATTGTTGCCTATGATGTGTCAATTTTTCCTTGTCTTGATCTTTCTGAATGCAGTAGGTGTTCACTTACAGGCCTCAAGGATAGTGTACTCCGAGGGTTCATTTGGAAACTGAAGACTGTCTGCTCTGAGCCACAGACAGGAGAGAAACCCCAAGCTAATCCACGCTGTGATGCGATTGCTGACCTTAACCAAACTCAGAATGCTATAGTTGGGCTCCAAGTGAGGAAGTGCATAGATCTCGACTCAAATGTTTTGATTTTGGAAGTTTGACTTCACTGTTTATAAGCTTCTGCTAACCATTTGATTATGCTTTTGTCACAGTGATCCTTGTGGGGCTGTTGAACCTGGTTTTAGGTTTGTTTTAAAACAGTAGATCTTGACTCAGGCGCCTGAGTCCACCTGTTATTGTATGACCCCTGATCCAATTGTGTGCACTAATTTTACAGTTTACTTGGTGGACACGAATGGGCTAATTTGTAATGTTTCTGGTAGTCGACCAGTTTACTGTAAGCTCACAAATGAAGCACAGTCAAGTTTAGAGGTAAGAAAATTAATAAAAATAAAAAAAAACATACATTGCCTTGCCTCTTGTTTCCACGCTGATTGTGGAATGCTGACCACATGGAATGACTGTCACATTTCACTGTGTAACAGCAGTTACTGTGCTCTATAAGGAATTTATCATGTCAAGTGCTTTGAGCTATTTTCACATGATAGAATGCTTTACAAATACAAGCTGGAATAATAATATTCATTTGTCGAGGGTGGAGACGATTTGTCAAATCTACAAACAACTGTCGGAACTAAACTTAAGTCGATTGAAAGAAACTACCTATACATATGAAGTTATGGAGAAATGGTTTGCTACAACAAAAAACAGAAGTTGCTGGAAAAGCTCAGCAGGTCTGGCAGCATCTGTGAAGAAAAAAACAGAGCTAAAGTTTCGGGTCCGGTGACCCTTCCTTGGAAGAGACAGGTTTGCTATAATTTTGGCAGAAATACAAAAGAAATAGAGCTCCAGAAGATATTTTTACATAAACATTATTGGTTACATAGATGGAGTTAAGAAACAGATCAGCCATGATCTAATTGAATGTTATACATTAACAATCTGGATGAAGGAACTGAGGGCATTGTTGCTCAAGTTTGTAGATGACACAAAGATAGTGTTGAGGGACAGATAGTGTTGAGGAAGCGGGGAGGCTGCAGAAGGACTTGGACAGGCTAGGACAGGGGGCAAAGTGGTGTTTGAATGGAAGACAATGTGGGAAAGTGTAAAGTTATGCATTTAATTAGGAAAAATAGAGGTGCAGACTATTTTTTAAACGTGGACAGACTATGAAAATCTGAAACACAAAGGGATTTAGGAATCCTAGTTCAGGATTCTCTTAAGGTCAACATGCAGTTTCAGTTGGCAGTTAGGAAGGCAACTGCAACATTAGTATTCATTTTGAGGGGATTAGAATACAAGAGCAGGATGTACTGTTGAGGCTGTATAACGCTCTGATCAGACCACATTCGGAATATTGTGAGCAGATTTGGGCCCTGTACCAAATGAAGCATGTGTAGGCCTTGGAGGGGGTTCAGAGGAGGTTTACAAGAATGATCTTGGGAATGAAGGGCTTGTTACATGAGGAGCTGTTGAGGACTCTGGGTCTGTACATGATGGAGTTTAGAAGGATGAGGGCAATCTAATTGAAACTAACAGACAACTGAGTGGCCTGAATAGAGTGGACGTGGAGAAGATGTTTCCACTAGCAGGAAAGACTAGAACACAAGGGCACAGCCTCAGAGTGAATGATCCTTTAGAACTGAGATTAAGAAGAATTTCTTTAGCTAGAGGGTGATGAATCTGTGGAACATTTTGCCACAGAAGGCCATGGGGGCCAAGTCATTGAATGTCTTTAAGACAGAGATAGATAAGTTCTTCATTCGTAAAGGAATCAAAAGTTATGGATAGAAGGCAGGAGAATGGGGTTGAGAAACATATTAGCCATGATCAAATGATGCAGTAGACTTGATGGGCTGAATGGCCTAATTCTGCTTGTGTATGTTAGGATCTTATGAATGTGGAACAGGTTCAAGGGACTGCTGAACAGCCTCCTCTTTTGTTCCTGTATTGCTTTCACCTCATGAACCTTATCAGCGTGTTAATAATGGCTCAGTTGGCAGCATCCTAGCCAGTTGATGTGCTTCATGTACTAATCCGAGAATTGATTCTGAAGCTCCTGAGGAAGCACAGCACTACTGAAGGTGTTGTCTTTTAGATGAAATGTTAAACCAAACGTTAAACCTTCTGAAACAGTTCTGAGGAACGGTCACCGGACCCGAAATGTTAGCTCTGATTTTCTCTCCACAGGCCTGCTGAGGTTTTTCAGCAACTTCTGTTTTTGTTTCCAAAAGCTTCCAACCCACAAGGGCACGATGGAAAGAATATCACAGAGCCTTTAACATTGATACCTATAGCTCCAGATTAGAACGTGCTGGCAAGAAGAGCATGTTGCTACAGCAACTCAAACTTCCTGGGAGAGTGAACTGTCACACATCACCAGCAGCAGCACAGTACCTCATTCCTAAGGTGACACTGCAGTGGTGTGAAGCGCTATAAGAGTATACACAGAATATGCAGACAGTGCTGGGGCTTCTTCACAAATCAACAAAGTAAAGAAGGAAGAGTAGGGGGATAAAATAAAACCTACAAATGGCTGAGACATTATGAGTCTTTTGGAATCATGTCAAGCCCTGTGAGAGTGATGCCAATTCAAGTCAAATCTGATTTAAAAATTAACTGGACTTTATTCCACCTAGCCAAACAAATTGATTGAATTGTCCTGATCCTTTCTTTTTTTATGACTGTACTATAAGTACACCTGCCAAAATCTCAGTGCGGGGAGCATATTTCACATTTCAAGCTGAACTCGATGGCTATTTACCATGAAAGGAATGTCTCCTGGACAGAAAATTGTGCAGGCCAGAGTGTCAAAGGTGACAGGCACAGCCCATTCATCACTAACTGACTATGGTTAGGCAGGAGCATTGCGGTTTCAGCATGAAATTAACAAAACGATTTTACAAAATAAAACGACTGCTGGTGCACCTGGTTACAATCGAAAAATGCCATTTAAATAGTCTGCAGCGGGTCAATGATGAATTGTTTAAAAATGCTGATTTCTATTCACAGCCAAGTCATCCATCGTGGTTTAAGATAGTAATTGACTGGCTTCAGTCACTATCCAGTAGACTGATCACTGTGAGAGAATGATACTAAGTCAAATTAGGAGTCCCAAAGCTGCACTGGTTTTAACCAGAGCCACCCTCAAGGTAAATTCCATTGTTATACTTGGCAGTTTCATGTAGGTGAGGTCTAATGCCATACAAACGTCTGAGATTTCAGTCACAGAATGTTATTTGTGACACTGTTCAGCAGAGGTTCATGAGACACAGCGAGACAAACTCTGATTAATCTACCCACTTGGAATCATACAACGGGGACCGGTGAGATTAAGACAGAACTTTCAAGTCAAGAACTACTACCGCTAATGTAAGATGGGGAAAAGCCAATTTCTACACAGCAAGGTCCAATGAATAGCAAACGGAATAATCTGCTTTTGTGATGTTTATTGAGGGATCAATTGTGGTCATGGTATTGGAAAGTACAAATAAAAGGAGAGCAGATGCTGGGGACTGGAAATATAAAAGCAGCAAACATAGGAGAAACTCAGCGGGTCTGGCAACATCTGTGGAGAGAGAAACAGAGTTAATGTTTTGAGTCCAATTATACTGATGAGTGCCGAAGAAGAGCTATATTGGACTCAAAATGTTAATTCTGTTTCTCTCTCTCTCCACAGATGCTGCCAGACCTGCTGAGTTCCTCCAGTATTTTTTCTTTTAATTATTGGGAGAACTCCCTGGATCATCTTTGAAAAGTGCCAATTAATACTTTCTCCCCAGCTGACAGGCTAAATGGAGCCTCGGTTTTAATATTTCATCCAGAAGGACAGATCCTGCCCAACTGAAAAAAACAGTTTTGATGAAAGTTCATCAACTTGACATGTCAGTTCTGTTTCTCTCTACATAGATGCTGCCTGATCAGCTGAGAACTTCTAGAATTTCAACATGTGCAGTACTGCGCTGTTATGTTTGGGCTGGGCAGAACTGAAGATGCAACAAGTGGTGGGCGTGTGCAGTGAATTGTCTGGTAGGATGGAACACATGGTAGGCATTTTGTGGCTTCTGGTGTTTCTGTTTCTTAAAAAATAGCTTAATTGGGGCTGTGTTTACACTCCACCAGAATAAAAATGAAATATGATCAATCAGACACTGGGAAGAGGCTATTCCGTAGGTC